GGAGGAGGAGGATGAAGAGGAGATCCAAAACGTCGCTGCTGTCCGTGATGCGTTCGAGGCGGCTGGGAAAGCGGAGTTACCTTAAGGTCTCGGTGAACGATGTGCTTCTGATGGCAGTACTGGACCGCAGAGACGATCTGAGAGAAACGTTCAGGTTTAATAATCATTTAATAATTTAGAGTTTAAGGATTTTACACTAAGTTTAATGTTTCATTATTATATACTTAATACAGGTTTTCCCACAGGGACATTCAAGCACTTTCAAGCTACGTTTTCAGAAAACAACCAATTATTAAATATTATTTATTCCTGTTATTCACTCTTGTAGGTTCTGCAGCGGGGCGCTGCTCCTTGCTTTAATCACATTGATTTAAACCTGCAGCCTGTGCTGCTGCCTGGCTCAGAGGCTCTGCGGCAGGCTGACCTGCTAAAACCACCTGCTCTACTTCTGTGTTATGGGGTGTCTGCGTTACCGTGGCGATGGGTGGTTTGGGAGCGTTACCTGTCTAAATTTAGCTCTGGCCTCCTTCTCCTTCATCCTCCCATGAGCTACGAGGTAGTCGAACACTTCACCTGCGCGCGCACACGCACACGCACACGCACACACACACGCACGCACACACACACAGGTCAGAGGTGGATCCAGGTGTTTGGCTTTAGTCCAGGTGTGTCTGCAGGTGACAGACCTCCGCTGGCGTACTCCATCACCAGGTAGAGCGTCTTCTCCGTCTCTATCACCTCAAACAGCTTCACTGCAGACAGGTAGGACAGGTGGGGCTTTAAAACGGTACCAGAGGCCCAGCTGAGGCCCGGTAGAACCAGAACCTGTTGGACCCGGCGGATCCAGGTGGGACTCACCGATGTTGGGGTGGTTCAGGATCTTCATGATGCGAACCTCTCTGAGCAGCTGAGACAGAAACACAGCAGGCCATTAAACACACTCGGAGCCGGTTCTGGTTCTGATCAAATGCCTGGTTCTGGTTCTGTTGCTAGTCTCACCTTCTGCAGGCTGGTTGGGTTCAGCTGGGTCTTGTCGATGATCTTGATGGCCACCTGAAAGGTAAAGGTACGGGTCAGAACTGGTGTTGGTTCTGGAGCATGTCCCAGAACTGCGTCCAGCCTGGTCCGGTCCAGTCTCACCTCCCGGCCCGTCGGGATGTGCCGGGCCAGCTTCACTTTGGCGAAGTTCCCCTTCCCGATGGTCTTCAGCAGCCGGTAGTTTCCCACGTGCGGCGCGTCGTCCGCGGTGACGGCGGCGGCGTTTTTACAGCGGGCGGAGCGGACGGGGCGGGGCAGCGCCTCACCGCGCCCGTCTTCCCCAGGTGCATGCTGGGAAACGAGGAAGCAAAACAACATGGGTCAACCTGAACCCAAACCGTTTGACCTTCCTGTCAGACTGGAACTTCATCCAGGTTGATGTGAATCTACAGAACAGCTGGAACAGAGAAGGACCAGGAGAACAGGCACAAGAGGAGGGAAAAGTCAGAGTGCAAGAGCGACGCTTCCAGAACGCATGACGTCACCCTGGAGGTGGCACTGGAGGGACGGGTTTAATCTGACGAAGGGTTTGAAGTTTCGTTAAATTATGGCTTACTAAGTAAAACATGCTAACTCCAGCTAACCATTAATCGGTTACTAAATCAGTTTATGATTATTTCAATAATCAATCATGACTAATGTGATTAATCTCCCTGTTCTGACCCGTCCTGCATGCTGATGCTTAGAGGAGGAACAATAATAAAGAGAGAAGTGAATAAATCTGTTTCTGTTTAAAGGTTTGTTTCATATTTATGGCAAATGAAAGAGTTTAAGATGTAAATTATATAAATGTGAGGCAGAGATTTGATGAAACATTCGGCTCCGTTCAGGACTAACTGGAGCGTCTAAGAGACAAACCTGGTGTTAAACTCTCACCTTGAAGCTTCGTTTGTTTCATGGAGGTAAAAATAAACAATAATTGATTCTCATTTATGATTCAGAGACGGATTATTTTAGGTAGACAAGCATGGTAACATCAGAGGGCTTAAAAACGGATTAAAAACAGATTTATGTCTTAATCGTAACATAAATACCAAAATAAATATTAAAACATGTTATTTCATCAGACGGAGGAATAACTTCTTAGTTTAATGTTTTGTTTTAGGTTAAGGCACCTGAAATTAATAAATAAATATCCTTTTTTTTTTACTGCAGAGTTTATGCTTATTGGAAATTATTATAGTCCAATAATCCTGAATAAAAATGTAGTTAAAAATAAAAATCCATAACATAATCTATTTGCCTTTGTGTAAAACAGAGAAGCAACATTTCCTTCTACTGTTGCAAAAATAACATAACAGTGATTATTACAGTAAAAGTTGCGCAACACGTTGAATCATTAGTTATAATATCAGAGAAATTGACTAATCATATTTAAAATCATCACTGAAATATTTCTAGATAAAGTCTCAATATGGAGCAGCTCTGATTGTATTCCAGTAAATATAATTGTTCAGATTATTAGACTGGTTGAGAGTAGAACTGATATTGATCAGTATTTAGCCTGCAGTCTGCTGCCCAACAGAAAAACGACGCTGTTCCTTTAAGACTCCAATGTTTGTCACAACAATAAGGTCAAACTACCAGCGGTTCCCACATCAGTTTTTATTTTTTTGTGCAACTTCAAAAGATTCCAGGAAAAGTTCCTTTGTTTTATTTGATACAGATTGTTTCTTTATGTGTCCATGCTCACCATTATTACAGAGAGTTTTAACAAGCATTCAGGCTTATCCAGAAGAACTGGAACTCTTAACCTTCTTATCCAACATTAGTGTCTGACCTCACATATGCTCTGCTTGTGGAAACCATCAGAAGAGCCGATGCCATCGGTTTTACTCCAGTTGACGACTCAATACTTTCTGCTAGCAGCCTGTTTAGATTTTAAGTTATTCAAAAGCAGCCATTTATTTTCCTTGGTGCTGATTGGCTGAACCCACAGAGCAGAAGATGTTAGCTACCAAAAATGTTTTCCACTATGTGTATTAATGCGTATTAAAGAATATTTGGTGCTTTAACTGTTAAAATAGGCAGCTATATGAGTCTCAGACAAGTCAAATATATCTTATTGTGTCATTTCAGCCAGCTGACTGGCAGTGCACAGCAACAGTTGATATGGAAACTCAAAGAGTTAAAAACACTTTGAACTACTAGAAGAGTGCAAGGAAAGTTTTGGCACCACTGGTAAACCTAGAACAGCCTGGAATAAAGCACAGATTTCTACCAGAACACTCTGGATCAGATTTTTGGTCCCTGGCAGATTTTGGAGTGACAGATCTGGGAGTTCTGATCAAATGGATCCGGACCGAACCTCCAGGTTCCGGTTAGGACCCTCAGGACTCCCACTGGGGCTGGAAATGTTCCAGAAAACACCGGAAACGCTCCTGATAGCCGTTTCCTCCCTGATGCTCGGAGATCAGATGATTCAGCTGAAGAGGAAAAAGTTTGGAGGTGTTTCGGTTCTGACCCACCTGTTCGGTGTCCCGCTCGTTGACGGTGGGCAGGGGGGTCCTGGTGGACATGATACCCAGGTCAGTGTAACGGAGGTCCGGTCATGAAGCCGCCGCCGCTCCGCTCCGCTCCGGAACACCTGTCTCAAACTTAGCGGGTCGGAAAGTGACGTGCTGCTCCGGCTTCGGTTCGGTTCTATCTCAACGAACTCCCTCGCGGCATCACCTGTCCCTGCCCTGGGTTACCTGTCCCGGCTCGGCTCGGATCCTTTTCCGGAAGTTTATAACTGTCATGGATCCAAACCGAACCGGAGCAACAGTTCCTCTTTAACGCCGAAGTTAGCCGGGGAGTTAGCAGCCCGACACTTCCCGGTGCTGGGACTTTATTTCGGGGAGAGAGGAGGTCCGGCTCGAGCCGCCGGCCTCTAGCTTCGGTCCGCTTGGTGAGACAGTCCTGGTTCGGTCGGTTCGGCTGGAATTTGGTTCTGTCGGTTTCTCCTCATACTCTCAGCTAGGAGTGAGCTAGCCTGAGCCAAGATGGTGGACTAACCCAACCCTATGCGCTGACGGCAAGTGACGTCAGACGCTACGTGTAATATGATTGGTTGATGAGGTCTAGCAGCAGCGTTTGTTGTTACTAGGGTGACTACAAAAAACGACGGGATGACGTTGAACCCCACCGACAGGGGCGCAACCCGGGAGGAGTAGAAGGGGACATGGAAATTTATATTTATAAAGTACAACGGAGTATCAGAGCCAAAATAAGAAGATATTTTGAGAATGCAGTCAAAATAATACAAGAATAAAGTCCCAATATTCACAGAACAAAGATGTGAAATTACAAGAAATTCAGTTGTTTTAATGAGAGCAAAGCATAAATAAAAATTATCAAGAAAGTTAAAAAGGCAGCCTGGGCATTAGAAACTAAAACACTCTGGGAAGATCAAATGGTTTAAACTATTCTTTTAAGCACACACACTATTTACTGAAGAAATTATGAATAAAGGAATATATAACCCTATGTCAGATGTGTCCTTAAATAAACAGGAACAAGTGCCATCTAAAGGACAATACACTGAAGATGATTTAACAAAGTAGTTAAAAAGAAAACTGCACTTTTCTTAGTCAAATGAGTCAAGAAAACAGGAAAAAAATCTAAGAAAAAATCAATAAAGAAGTTTATATTTAAATTCCTTAAAGTCTCGTTTTCCCTCTTTAAAGAGGATTCTTCTTCGAGATGAAACCAGATTCCTGAACAGTTTTGTCTCCAACCAGCAGAGGGCGACAGTCATCCGCTCAGTTTCTGCTTTACTTGCAGTCTTTCTGGTTTTAATCTGAACTAGACACAAAACGAACAAAGGCAAACACAAAGATTTGAAGAAAAAATTCATTTTGTCCGTTAGAAACATGCATTATTTAGCCAGTTATACATATAAACATATATTTTCACTACTTGAATTTGATCAACTTGTTGGTTTTTCACATCAATCTTGTTGCGTTTTCTACAGATTTCAGTATCTTTGAACGTATTAAACATTATATATTTCTGACCAAAGCTGAATTACTCCTCCCAAGGAAAATGTGATTTTCCTTGGGAGGAAAATCCCAAGGAAAATGGGATGTAACTCATGATCTGTAATCATGAGTTACAGATTAGTAACTCATGCACTAATCTGTGCATGAGTTACTAATTAGTAACTCATACACTAATCTGTGCATGAGTTAGGCTTGTTTTTACGTTTCACAATAAAATTATGGTCATTTTATTAACAGTGAGATTTTAAAGTACACCTACCTCACTCAAGAAGGATTTTATTTCACTGTTCACCACTGACCAGATCTCTGACGAAGAGGTATTGATCCTGTCTAAACAAAGGGTTAAACTAAATAAATCATTAATCATTAACTTAGGCAGGTTAGCTACAGCATGTTAGCATGTGTTTCACATGGGAAGGTAAAAACTACAAACTAATACGTACAATGTTTCTATAGTGTTTACATGATCTTCTAAGTTTGGAGTTACTTTGCCACCCGTTTTGCAGGAGGTACTTAATCTCTCACTGAAAAATGTAGAAAATATCACACGTTTTTCATTTTAAGAAAAAAAAAATCTAAATATATTCCTAAAAAGACCAAATATGACAATGAATTTGATTAAAATAAAAAACCTTAATTTCTTAGCGTGATGTTTTTTCACCTGAATAAATCTCTAAATCTAAAACTTCAATGATGTTTTGTAATAAAAACTAATTTATTGAAAGTATTTCTGCACATTTTTGGAGAAATGAGTCAAAACATCCAGCAGAGGTTCTACTGAATAAATACATTTATTGAAATGACAACAGTAACAGAAACACGTTTGTGTTTCTATAAGCATTCTGCGCAACTTTACAACATTCATTACTTTAGGGTTTAGTTAAGCCGCAGGAAGCTGGATTGATTTAAAATGAGTCTGGTTGCAGAGTTAGCTTAAATACGACACATTTTCTAACACTTAATTAGTCATAAAAGGAGAACGGAGTCCTGATGAGCAGCAGATGGCTTTCCAACACAGAGTTTTCCTTTTTATATTTCTAAACAACTGGCTAACATGTTAGCATCACTAAGCTAATGTTTACATTAAACGCCATGCAGATAATCTGAAACAACAAGCTATGCTAACATGCTAACATTAGCATTGAGCCGCACTGTTTTAACTCTTGATCTGGTTGATCTTGTTGTTGATCCATTTGACTTTAACCCTGGAGAAGAACGGAGGACTCTGATTGGCTGAGGCGTCCAGGGGGCGGTTCTCCTCCACGCTGGCCCGGATGGACCGGACGTCCGCCGCCGAAAGGCCGAACTTCAGGGACAGCAACGCCGAGACGTGAGCGCCGCTGACGACAATCACACAAATAATTTATCAGAAAAAAAGATTTAAAGAAAAAAAATCACTTTTTAAAAATATTTTTCTTATTTTCTAGCTTCTTCACTCTGTTCTGTTTAGTTGAACTTAGTATTTTCTTCTCCCTGGAAGTTTGATTTATTCACCCTGACTTCAGACACTCTCAGGTTCTTCTGCCTCGAGGATCTCAGTGTTTTGGTTCATTTTTTCTGACTAAATGAACAAAAATCTGCAGTCGTGGCCAGAAGTGGGAGGAGGATCCACAAGATGTGTTTTCTGAGCCACATCTGACAACCAGGTGAGCACGAAGCCTGAAGCAGCCTGGAGAAAATGCCTTCACAACGCCAAACGTGAAGTTTGTTCATATTTTGGGCTTTTAATAATTTATTTGAGTCGTTTTTATTCCAGGTTGGAACGATTCTGCAACACAAAACTGAAACAAATACAAAAACTAAGATTTGAACCATAATTTAGATTTTTTTCTGATCTACAAAAGTCAAAGACAAAGGCTCCAATAAATACATACATTTACATAACAGGTCTGAAGAATCTGGAACATTTTAATTTAACAAGGTCAGAGGTCATTAAACTACCTCAGTCTCAGGAGTTTTAAGGTTTATAAGGAGAATTTTAGATTTGCACAAATTTCTGTCAACATTTCTAAACAAAAGTAGATTTTAAGATCTTCGGTCCAACCATTGGTGCCAAAATCAAAGTTATTTGTTTATGTAAAACCTTAACTACATTCAAACTTTATGGGCGATAAACTCTAACAAAAAAAAGAAAAAGAAACTGAGAAAGTAGTTTTGAATTTTTTTTCTGTTTCAATTTTTTTTTTTCATTTTTAATTATGTTTTCAGCCAAATTTAGCTCCGTACATAAAGTTTGTAAAAAAAAAGAAAAAAGTGAAACAAGAAAAAATGTTAAATTGAATTAATCTGAAAAAAAATGAAAAACAACTAAAAAAACTGGAACTTGAAAAGTAGTTTTTTTTTCCAGTTTCAACTTTTATAGCCCTAATATAGCTCCATACCATACAATTTGTTCGTAAAAAATCAGAACCTTAAAAAAAACTTTGAGCCTAAAAAGTAGTTTTTAACTTTTTTCAGTTACATTTTTTTTACCAACTTTATTGGCCCTAATTTAGCTCCATACAGTTGGACGAGCCAAACCAAAATAAATTCTGCTGTTTGGACCAGAAGTGTTTTCTGGAGTCAGAGTGAGAAAGCTTGTAATGCTTGGTGGTGGCAGCATGATGCTGTGGGGTAGAAAGAGGTTCAGCTCAGACCCACAGCCAGATGGTCGAAGTTTGGTAATGAGCCAAGACCCCAACGACCTTTGACCTCTGGGCTGATTTAAAGCCAGAAAGCCAGACCAGTTAAAACAAACGATCAAATATCAGGCGGCATGAAGAGCTTCGACCGATCAGGAGGGAACAGAGACGCTCTCTAGCCGCTCTAGGTCTGGACGTCTCTAGCCGCTCTAGGTCTGGACGTCTCTAGCCGCTCTAGGTCTGGACGTCTCTAGCCGCTCTAGGTCTGCAGCCTTTCCCAGCAGAGACTCGGTGACTCAAGCCTCGGGCTCGGCCCGGTTTCGTCAGAACCGCTGCTTGTGGTTCGGTGTCATCTGGAAACTGAGCGTTTTGACCCACAGAGGAAAGAAACGGATCCCTGTTCTGTCAAAGCGATGGATCTGAAGCCTGAGACGCAGCGCAGCGACACCTGAGCAGGTAAACCAGATGGCTGGAAGCTTCCAGAACCTGATCCACACCCGGTGCCGCTCAGTACTTTTCCTTGAAGCGGACCCGCCCTTCCCACTGGAACCAGGAGGACTCGGGTTGCAGCACAACAAGCTGGCACACATGCAGGTACATCTGGTGTCAGGTGTGGCACCAGGACAGATGATTTATTGCGGGTTATTTAAAGCAAACTGCAGCCCTCTGCTGTGCTGCAGGTTTTCGATGAGCCTCAGGTACAAAACCCTGGAATGAAACGGCTTCATCTCCTCCTGGCTCTCCAGAGCCTTAATGACCTGATTATTCTGTTCAGGTGCTGCAGCAGAGGAACATCTAGATGTCGCAGGACACCAGGACTGGAGTTTACACCTGGGATTTAAAGCTTCAAACGGAAAACTGAAACGTTGAACATGGTAACGACATGCAGAGGAGGGAGAGCGTCTAAAGCTGCGTTTCCACAGCAAATGCTCACAGAGCTTTGTTGTGTGGAAAAAAACACAATTTGCTTTTTCCATTAAATGAGAAATGAAACTAAAGTCACTTGTGAATAAGTTTGTTCACGTGACAAATGGAAAACACGCAGCACCAACATCCTCCTATCACTTCCTGTCTTCTTACATTTACAGTTACTCCGGTAAATGTAACTAGTTACTCCGGTAAATGTAACTAGTTACTCCGGTAAATGTAACTAGTTACTCCAGTAAATGTAACTAGTTACTCCGGTAAATGTAACTAGTTACTCCGGCTGTTGATCATGTGCAAAAAAGTCTTTCCATCAGAGTTTTGCTAAATAAACCGATTTAAACAGCCAAAAAAACCCAGCTCATCTTAGCGCCAAAACTTTTTATCCAAACGACAGTCGTGTCAACATCTGACAAAATTACGATTTGGTTGATTTGACCAGGAAATGGAAACACGTCTACTTCACTTTTTTGGTGATATTTTAAAAGTTTGCTGAAAACTTGGATGAGAAACATGGCTAATGTTCAGCCAGCGCTAATCACCAAGATGGCGCTGGCTAACCTCATGCTAACGCTGCGTCACAGTCTGCTAAACAGACACAGACCAACAAACCTTCACACACTCAATCTACAGAGATGAGCTGACCGTTGACTGAAGGAGGAAGTTTAAACCAACTTCCTGTTACCCTCAAAGTGAAAATCAATCATTGCACATTTCAGCAACAAGGCAGTTCAAATGCTTTACTTCACAAAATTATAAAATCACCAAACAGTCAACAAAACCAGAAACATTCCAATGAGTGCCATCATCAAATTAATCAATTAATGTCAAATATGTTGGTGAATGTTTCATTTATTATGGTAAAAAGCAGCTAGAACAGATTGGCTCTTAGTTCAGATTTAAAGGATCTCAGGGTTTCGACTGTTTTTCAGTTTTCTGGAAGTTTGTTCCAGATTTGTGGTGCATAGAAGCTGAATGCTGCTCCTCCATGTTTGGTTCTGAAGGCCAAGACATTTTAAATGGATTTAGATTTTAGAACTGAATAAATCTGCATCTGATCCCTGTAGGCCTCAGCGTTGCTCAGCGTTGCTTAATTTTCCCAGCAGCGTCTCTCTGCGGTCAGAGGCCGAGTTCTTTCTTATCCACATGAAACAATTGATGATTTACCCAGCATGCATTGGGACACAGAAAGCCATTGTTCCTCGTGACAAAACCAAACATCTCCGATCCAGCTGCGGCCGCGTCACGAGTTAAACCTCGGCGCCCCGGATCCTCTGAGCTTCCTCAGAGAACAAACGTCCTGCTCCGAGACGGATGGACGACGACTCAGCAGAAATGACTCGGCAAAACGCCAAGCTGAAACCTGAGCTGGACAGAGGATCCAAAACTACTCAAGTAAGAGTAAAAATACTTCATAATCAAATTACTCAAGTACAGCGTAGTAGGAATACTCCTAAAAATATATAAAAAAACCCAGTTGCTCCAGTAAATGTAACCAGTTGCTCCAGCTCTGTGGGCGGTACCTGAAGTCCGGGAACCTTCGGGCCAGATCGACGACCTCCAGGTGAACGCTGGCTGGATCCTGCAGACGGAGAATCTCAGCGACGCTGCAGAGCGTTTCAGAGAGATACGGAGCCGAACCGCAGCCCTGAGACACAGCGATGAGTACCGAGTACTACTGACGAGTACTACTGACGAGTACTACTGACGAAATACTATGCTACGTGTCTCACCTGCTCTCTGAAGAAGCCGTCCATCTTCTTGGCGTCTTCCACCATCCGTTCGGACCCGGCCACCTGCTGCTGTCGGCTCTTCACCCTGGTCTTCATCGTCTTCTTCATGTACTGAGCGACCAGGTCTTGGTGGAGGTCGCAGACCAGCGGCTGAGAGACGGGGGCGGTCAGCTGGACAGGTAGCCAGGCAGACAGGTGGAGGGCGGAGGCGTCTCACCTGTTTGCAGGCTGGTTTCAGGTCCGACAGGTCGGCCAGTTGTTGGCTCAGAAAGCTCAGCAGCTGGTCGACGACAGGAAGTGAGCCGTCCACCCAGGGGGGCGTCCACAGTTGACTTAAGAAGACCTAAACATCAAAACAAAAGAGACGTTTGTCCTGCTAACAGAACAAGATGCTCCACTGAAGGAGAAAATGTTCCACATCATCGGTTATTTCTCATATTTCTGTCACTTTATTCACCTGCAGAACTTCTGCTAGTTGCCATTAGCGATGGCGTTTGCAGTTCTGCTAATGCGTTAATAGAGGAACAAATTATGAATTTAGCACATTATTGTTTTTGCTCATTTTGAAAATGTGTAGCACTTAGCTTCCATTATCTACCATATTAGCTTAGCATTTTTGCATTAGCTTCCTCTACATACCATGTTGTTGTTGCTCTTTAGCATTAGCTTCTGCTAAATGCTGTGTTGGTGTAGCATGTTAGTGGATTTAATGTGCATAATTAGCACCACAGAGTTTTTAGGTGTCTGAGCAGAGACAGTGCTGACCTTAATCTTGCCGTGAAGAGGGAAGGTCAAACACTGGTAGCAACAATCCCTGAGAGCAGAGAGCGTATCCAGACATCGGCGCTTCTGCTCTTCAGCTAAACCTTCAGCTTGACCAGATATGTAATCTCTGAGGACAGGAGAGACACTGCTTAGCTGTGACAGTTCCCAGAATGCTTTGGGGCAGATTTTCTGCAGCTCTAGTCGTGATGCAGGTGTGAGCTCACCTGAGCTGCTGCTCACAGACCAGCGTAGCTTTTAGCACTGGATGCAGGTTGCTGGGATTCGCCTTCGCCAGGTCCTCCACGCTCTTCCTGTAGCTGCAACACAAACACATAAAAGGACGAAATAACCAGAAAAACTGAAGAACAGATGGAAATAATTCCTCCAAATATAGACTTCTTAAATTAGATTTTCCTTCAGAAGTGGTGCGTGGCGTAGAGGTAAATGGTTCAATTCCTGACTTGTGCTGAATGTCACTTCCTGTTTGAATGCTGTCAATAAAGACCCCTAATGCCACAAAATCTTAAAAATAAATACATTTTTAGGTACCTTCAATTCATATTTTAATATTTGATCAATATTCAAAGTATTTGTGTTAAGTTTTTGCATAATCTTTGTTCCTAAAGGAAAATATGTTTTCTTAGTCGACATGAAAATCAATACAACAGATGCAAAATAAAAGCTGAGTCGTGAAATTTTTCCGTTTTTTAACTATTTCCTTAATTGGCTTCTGCTAACTAGCATGTTAGTTTAACGCCTTAGCATTAACTTATACCATTTAGCATGTTGGTAAAGTACTTTAGCATTAGCTTCTGCTAACTAGCATGTTAGTTTAACATCTTAGCATTAGGTTATCAGTTAGCATGTTGATAAAGTACTTTAGCATTAGCTTCTGCTAAATCAAAGTCTGCATGAATAAAGGAAAGACAATGAACCTTTTACTTCTTAGTGAAACAGTACAGCTGTGACCTGATTGGTTGTTGTGTTCAGTGGGCGTGGCTTACCTGCTGAGAAAGTTCTCCAGGTGAATCGTCAGCCTCTGCGCCTTGTTCTGGTCTTTGATGGCACAGCTGAACTCAGTCAGGGAACTGTTCACCACCTGCAGACAGGAAGCTTCGTCAGAAACGGACGGTTAAAGCCCAGCAGCGCTACCTGTCCCTGCGCTCACCTGGATGACATCGATGGCCAGCGGACTGAAGTAGTAGCAGTCGATCAGTTCGGGCGTTTTTCCACTCAGCCAGCTCTCCTCCTCCTTCTTCAGAGCCGTGCTGAGCCACAGCTTCACCTTTTCCTGAAACGACAACGGCTCAGTGAGCTGAAGCCTGCTGGCGGTCCGCCGCCGACACCTTTACCTGTCTGTGGCTCACCTGTCTGTGGCTCACCTGTCTGTGTGGCTCACCTGTCTGTGGCTCACCTGTCTGTGGGGCTCACCTGTCTGTGTGGCTCACCTGTCTGTGGGGCTCACCTGTCTGTGGGGCTCACCTGTCTGTGTGGCTCACCTGTCTGTGGCTCACCTGTCTGTGGGGCTCACCTGTCTGTGTGGCTCACCTGTCTGTGTGGCTC